TTGAATAAGACACTAAGAGGAATCATTATTACAAAGATAAAAAATCTAATGTTTTACACATTCAAATATAATAGAATATTAGAAAACAATAATAATATGATTAAATATGATAGAAATGAATAACAGAATAGAAGTGAGTAGTATTAAACTGATAAAACAAGCAGTTCTAGATAATTATAAAATCAAGTTATGAATATATCTATTAATGATAATTTTTTTAAGTTTGAAATATAATAAAAGAATATTTAATTAAATAGTTTTCTTATAATATGTTTTATCATATTATATTATTTTTTACCTTTTAATTAAAAGATCACTCTAATTACTTTTTAACAATTGATGAATCCTCAAATGGATATTGTCACAATCTTCAACAACGTTATATCAGAAATTGATAATGATTCTTCTCGTATCCAATTCTTAACTTTCACTGCAATTCAGAGTATCGCACGAGCACAAGAAATTGTGGATATTATCAATACCTCATCACTTCGATTTGTTCATAGCCCAGAACAACAGGTATCTGTTTTGTATGTGATTGACTCAATTGTAAAGAACGACTCAACTAGAACTGTCCAGGATTAGACGAGAACGTGGTTGACGTTTATCATGGATGTCATCAGCAACTAAGACAATATATTATCGATTTAATCAACACATGGAACGGTTCATTTCCAAATGAAATTATTCAATCAATCATCAGACAAATCAACCCACCTGAACCAATTATTCAACCACCACCACAACAGTATTACCAACAAATCCCACCACAACAACTACAACAATTACCACAACCACCAGCTCAATATCAACAATACCTAAGTCAACAACCAATGAAAAGAGAACCAGAGGGTTTCAATCAAGCAACAATGCCACCACAAAAAAGGATGGTTAATCTTTACGAAAACCCTGAACTACCCTCTATTGGCATTGATGAAGAAATAGCAACAAACCCATATATTCAAAGTGTTGTTGAACAACGTCCAGAACCTCCAATAGAACCAACACCGAATGTAAATGAAGTTGATGCTATTGATTTAATGAAAAGTTCGAATAACCAAGAGCCAAAAAAAGTACAGCTTGAACCAATCTCAGAGCCTATTCAAAAAACAACTACAATCACAAGAAAATATAATTTAGACCCTCAATGTGATATTTGTGGAGTTCATTGTCATAATATCGACCAACATAAACAATGGCATCAACGATGTGATTCCCTAAAAGATGGTATTAGTAGAGATTGGTATGTATCGTCCAATACTTGGATTACTGAACCTATTTCAGAACATGCAACTATTCAAGCTTTTGCTGCAGATAAATAAGAAGAAGCAAAAGCACCACAAAAGGTTGAAGAGATTCCTGAACAGTCACAAGTTGTTTTATATCCAATTGATGAACATTCAATGAACTGTGATATTTGTAAGGAGAAATTTGAAATATCCGATGATGGGTTACATTTCAAGAATGTTATTGCAGGCAAAAATGGTAAATTAGTACATAAAGAATGTGCTGAACATGTTTAAACATCTTCTAAAAGGAGGTAGAAAAGTGTTAATGACAACTAACTTATTTTTTCATTCTATCTGGTTATTTTTTTAAATCAATTGAGTTGATGATATCTTGTTTTCTAAAAAGAAATGAATAAACAAAAAATTCTATTGCAGATCTCAAACAAGTTTAAACCGATAATAAACCTAAAAATATAATCTCTGGAATAAACACAAAAAGATTTTCATTGGATCTCAATATATCAGTTGGTGATAGATGAACGGAAAAGTTTTGTTATTTAATTGCATTTCATTTATTTTCATCTTCACTGCGTTGGTATGTGTTTTTATTCCTACAACAGTTTTTTATAAAACTATTGCAACGAGAATGTTTTCAAAGTTTGTATATTGTGTTTGATTAGGACTTTATTGTTTAACAGTTTCTTATTGTATTAAAAGAAGTGCTGATTTATTTGGGTAGAGAAGATATTGACCGTGTATTAAACTATGAAATAGATTTAGCAACGTCAAAACATCTTTCATTAAGAATTGAAAATATTATGGAAAATATCGAGAAACCATTAAGTAAATTTGCTATTTATTTTAGCTTGTATTTTACAACAGTCTCGGCGCATATAGTAAATAATGAAACAGCTCAATATTTTGATATGATACTAACATACATTTTCAGAACAACTCCAGTACTTTCATTTATCCTTTCTGTTACGTCACTACTCATTGCTAATTTTATATATTATGGAATGTTTTATTTCATTGGGTCAATTATTTCTTGTTTTAGCAAACAACTAGTTGAAGTACGTGCGTTCTGTTATAAATTTGGATGGTATCTGGCTGCTCTTCAATTATTTGATACATTTATTCCATTAGTTCCAATTAACCTTTTCAATGTTATGTATGCAATAATTGGAGTTCCAGTACATTGTCATTTGTTTGCTTTGTTCCAATCATCATTACCTGATATTTACATTAGACTATTGTTTGGAATAGACCTAGTCCAAATTGAGTCAATGAAATTTACCGCAGATCTTCCCTATTTGTTTGTAGTATTATTTGCTATTGGAATGACATTGGCTGTATGTATATTTTACAGTATGTATTTATTTGTTCATGAAGAACCAACCCGTCCAGATCCAACAGAGCCTAAAGAGCCAAACACCATACCAGACAAAAGTATTGAAGCAAAGAAAAATGACTAAAACTTATTATCAAAGTTTTCTAACAAATTGAATTATTTTAATTGAAAAATTGAAATTTCAATCACAGGTTCTTATTTGTTCTTTAAACCAAAAGAACTTCAAAAAAAATATAATTTAATTTTCAAATATGTCAGAAGAACAATCAAACGAATTTGAAGAATTAATTAATCAACTTGAAAGTTCTATTGATGTATTAGAAACTCATGAAAAAATGGATTATGAAATTCCAAAATTATATTATAAGATGGTGTTTGAGGATGAATTATCAGAAGAGGAAAAAGGATTGGCATTAAAAGGATTGGTATTATATTTGAATTACAAAAGAGAGTTTTATGAAACATTTATTAAAAGTCATTTAGAAGATATTTATATTAAGTTACCATTCTACTTTGAAAGACCATTTACTGATTGGACTTTAAGTTTACTCCAGAAATCGATCCAAGATAAAAAACCAAGTGAAGATATTATCAATAAAATATGTGATACTATATCCATGGTATTAGATGAAGATCAACATCCAACAAAAACATTAAATAATGGATTTTTATTGATTCATAAAATTCTAGTAATATACCCTGAGTGTATTTCTAATATTATACAAAGTGAGTCATTCTCAAGTGGAAGATTAACTCAAGGACTAATATTAGAATTAATATTTACTGAGTATAAAGAGTCAATGTACTCTATTTGTCTTGACGTTTTGAATA